AATAAAGTAGTGATTTATTGCATATTTGTTTATTTGCATTTGTTGCAATACTTTTTAATACTGATTATGCATCGTTAAGATCACCACATCAATGGAAATGGTTTATAATTGTAAAGTGATTTTGACGTATAATTTTTCTTTACAACAGGCTCAACAACTATCATCATTGCCGCTTCTGTTGCCACAGTTGCAACTCTTCCTTTGCTCGTGTTTGTTACCTTGCTGTGTATAAAGTAAGTTTATTTGAAGATAATTGATTTACAAATTTAAAGCCGTTTAGGAAGAAAAAAAATTATGGAATGTGCATGTATTCATCAAATTTTGTAAATGCTGAATATGTTTATTCATTTATTTATTTGTGAATGATTCTTTAGACAGAATTTGCTCATTGTTCCATATCATCCATATAGATTCTTCAACCGAGAAAAAAGTATTCAAACCTTATAACCTTACAAACCACTTCTTTACAAATCTTAATTTGTTTTGTTTCATGAAGAAGAAGGCGGGAAAATGTGAAAGACATTATTGCTACACAAATTAATGAGTCTGAGACTGAAATGGATACATACAACGGGATACCTCCGAAGGTACACAAAAATGAAACTGATGAACGCCATAAACCAGCAGACAAAATAGAAAAGAAAGAGGACAGTGTGTTGGAGGACGATGGTTATAGTCACCTACATGATACACTAAGGAAAAAAGAATCTAACAGTGGTAATACATACGATACTCTGACGAACTGTAAATCAGAGACAGATGATGAAGTAGATGAGAGCGAGCTATACAACCATTTGAGGGAGACGAGCGTTCACGAAGCAGACGACATTTACAATCACGTGATAGACGAAAACGATTGTGAATACAACTTCACAGATTCTATTGCAAATAAAGACTCAGATGAATTTTGTAACTATGATCACATTGCACATCATAGTATACAAGATAATTCTGATGATTACATATAACTGAATATTAATTGATTGTGGAGAATCATATTTCAAAGCAGTAAACATACCGTATAACTGGATTTTTCTACGGGGTGCTATTTTTTGCGAAATTCTGCGATCAAGTCTTAATCGCAAAAAATTCAATCGCAAAAAATACGTAAATAAAATCCGGAATTTTCAGTTGCGATCATGGAGGTTCTACTTTTACAGATACCGGAAGTATATGTAAATAATGCCATTGCACGTTTTCAATCGTATTTTACAGATAATATACTTGATATCAACAGCAATGATTGTTTTTCGAATAAATAAAACGAATTCCTAAAGATTCAATATTTATTTGTTCTTACATTGTATTTCAAGATTTATTTATATGAAACCCGAATAGCAATTGTCGGTTTGGCTATTCCGCGGCTTGATCGGGTCCTTCACCAGTGTTTACCAGATTTTTCTTAATCGGTATTCTGTCCTTGAGAAAAGAATTTCTTGTGTAATATTTCCCCTACTGAGATTATATAAACTCTTTATAATCATAAATGAAAGTTCATAGTCTATTGGAACTTACTGAAACGAACTTCTATAAATTAATTTCAAAGAATTATCGTCTCGGTTTCAATTCAAAATAATTGTGACTTTGTTTCTAATTTACCCTGTGAATAATAACCCATTAATTATAACAACACACGGACGACCCACAGGTGTAGTGTCATCCATGTAATCACCCAATTAACAGCCCATGGCTTTCACTGTTTCCAGGTAAGTCCAGACGGGTACTACTAAACAGAGAACCCTAGAGAACTCTAGAGAACCTTAGAGAACCCTAATGATTTTAAGATATTTAGTGTCTGTAAATAAAATATTTATATTTTAAATATTTAATATGTCATGCTAAAACAAATTTAAATTAAAAATATATGAATAGGAAATAAACATGAATCCCCTAAAATTCATGGTGGATTAGGTGTAAGATAATGTTAAAATGCTTATTTTCAACAGGATATTGTTGAAATTCCTGTGAGCATCAATTTATATGTCAGTAGCTTGCCTTGGTTTAAAAACAAAGAAAGGTAGAAGAAAGTTTGATCTTGTAATGGTTACCTAGGTGTATCCACGTTATGCCTATTCCTATCACAGCTCCGGAGCATTCCCATGAAGACTACTTGAATTGTAAAGGGACAACTTTCTTGATCCTGCAGGACACATGTTTGCGCGACCACGGCTATATTTTTATAATTTAGAGACATAAACATGTTTGCCAGAAAGGGTGCAAGGTGCCACGCTTTTTTGCAAATTCAAATTTATTGTCAAAAGACACTGAAACAGTCTGACTTTTTTCAGAGTTGAAAAAGCCATTTGTGAAAAGGTGTTCCTAAGAACAACCTAGCATATCCTTTAAAGACTTTCAAAGCAGTACCCTTATCAAAACTCAAATTACTTCCAGCTGTCCTTGAAGTACAGCAAAGATGACCATAAAAATCAATTTTTTTATGTTTTGCTTTCTAGCCGCCATGCTGACAGACTGATATTTTACACACAACAATGCATAAACAACCACAACAACACTTAAAATGCAGGTGTATGCAATAAACAAAACAAAATACATACATAAGTTAATTTGCTGCGTGTTCATGCGACAAAATTTACACACATGAACTAATAATTTACGACAACATGTACGCAAAAGTTAACTTGCACCTAGTCCTGACCAGGTGTAAATCTACTCAACTGTGCAGAACTTACATGTGAGCAATTCAGTTCATACGACAAAAATTGCATATGTGAGTAAATTTAATATAAGTAAAATATACTGAGGTATGCAAATCATGTCGTATGAATGGGTTACTGGAACGCTAAAATGTGCATTATTTTGACTCAATTTAATTAAAATCAATGGACTAATTCATCATAAAAATATAACATTTGTATGTCATCCACCCCCCCCCCCCACCCCTTCTTATTAAACAATCAATGTCACAAACGGCTCTTACATGTACGTCTTTAAAGCACAACAGGCCTGACATGCGCTAAATTCAGTAATTTACAATTACAAAGAAAGAAAATTAGAGAATGTAAATGTAAGCATTGGATTCTTATTTTTGGATTTTTGGCACTGTTATTGGACCGACGATATCAAAAAATAAGAATTTGAGTTGCTTAAAAGTCTTTGCACACCGGTGAAAAACAAATCTTTTGCCTTTCATATGGCCATTCACTTTTTCTTCGTGATGAATGAACCAGGAATCCAAATCCAAAGATTAAAACATAGAAAAAGCCTTTGAGTTGAAACCCCTATGTTAACAAACCTTGAAAAACCCCATTAGGCACAGCAGAATTTGGCCACAAAAGTTTATATTTCTTACAGAAATAGAGACTGTTAACGGTGAAAAAAGTTTTCATGGATTGTTCTTATATCAATCTTTATCTATCATCCTTAAAATGACCTATAAAGGTCCGCTTTTGAAAATTATAGAGAAAAGAATGTCAGCGACACCACAACTTTTTCCAATCAACTGAACTGTCCAGAAGAGTTTGCACAATCCGTACCGCTTTCGACCAGCCTATTGCATTAAACTGGAAGGTAATACATTCTTACAACCCGTGCGCATGTCATTTGGCCCCGAAGACCATATGTTACTTAACCGAAACCCCATATGTGCCCTTATACACGGTGCCTATGCACTCTTAAACTTAAAACAAGCTTTCCGATAAACATTGTGGACTAGTAGCTAAACCAAATGTTCAGCGGTGTTGCTGTGGCCCTGCTCTGTTGACCTGAGATGTTTAGAGTCGATATGTGGGGTGTTGTGGGGTCAGAACAATGGAATGAATAATTCCAGCATTCCGTAGTCAACTCTGTGCAGTTCAGGGATAGCTAATGCTGTAGATGACGTCATTGTGAAACTCCACGTCTTTACGTTAATCTCAGAAGCGATCCTGTGCTGCTGACGTTACACGTGGTGTGCTTATAATATTGCAAACAGAGTGTTCCTTGTTAATGGTATACGTTTTATAGGGCAGGTATGGTGCTGTGTGTAACATGAAAACTTTTTGCAATTGAAGACTGTGGTACACGTTCTTCGAGTCGTCCATATTCCTTTTTGTGCTTTGTAACATTCAGATGCAGCATTTTAAGATAGCGTCAATTTTCAGATAAAACCAGAATCAAAATATCGTGAAACCCAGCTTTTGATAGCCCCTTTGTGCCTTAAGGAATCGCATCAGAAACCAACAAACGAAAATTGAGAATTGTGCAAAATCTGGTCCATTTGTCTGTGAAATTTGTAGAATAGCTGAACAGTGAACAATTGCGTTAAAAAATAAGGCATTTTACTCGAATGAATCAGAGCCATCTAAAAACTAGAGGTACTGTGAGCGATGAGCTCACTAAATGATACCCCCCGCCTCCCATATGGTTTTAACTAGTGAAAAAGTCCATGTTTTCCTGTGGCCGGGAAACCCAAAATATGTGTCGGATCAAAAAGTATTACAGGAGGTGGTAATATGTAATAAAGATTCTGTGAAAGTTTCATCAAATTTCATTCAGTGGTATGAGAGGAGTTGCGGATAAGAGATGGGTACCCCAAAGCGTAACACGGACGACGTACAGACGGCTAGACGGACGGACGGACGGAAATACCGATTACTATATACCCTCCCGCTTTTCAAGCAGGGGATATAAAAATGTACATCAACATTTGCAGACAGACGTGTTCGTTTATCTCAAATGTGACAGACAAGTTAATTAATCACATGAATTTTCATAGTTTAGCATCTTCAGCAGATACAGTTACCTTTCTTTGTACGTTCATTATTTTATTCTAGTTACATAAAGTTAATATTCGTGTTCAGCTTTATCACATTGTGATGCAATAATCCATTTTCTTCGAAATAATAGTTATTATGCCAGTTTTTTCAAGCCCAGGTATTCTAATAGCTTAAACTTATTCAATAAAATTTATTTTCTATTTATATTTTATATTTCAGAGTATTGCTGTAAATGCAAAATTAATTATTAAATCACAAATTTGAAACAAATCAAATAAGCATAATCTCTCTCTCCCTCTCTCTCTCTCTCTCTCTCTCTGGTCTTTTCATCTATTGCACTGACGAACACATGTTAATATCTGGCAAGATTTGACATGACGTTACAATGTCCACTTTGTCCTCGAGATGAAACAGGTCGTTGGTCAGTAGCTTCATGTTATGATTGACATCCTACAAATACAACAGAAAACAGGTCATTAGTCAGTAGCTTCATGTTATGATTGACATCCTACAAATACAACAGAAAACAGGTCGTTGGTCAGTAGCTTCATGTTATGATTGACATCCTACAAATACAACAGAAAACTTCAGACTCAATATATGTATAACCAACTGTTTTTTTAGACACACTAACTTTGTGTTTATTCCCCTCTTATTCATCACAAATTGATTTATAAAAGCATCTTTCATAATGGGAATTAATTTTTTTGAACTAGTTTTCCCCCCCAGATAATCTCTTTAAAACAAACCTAACGGCATTTTCCTTCGTACTGAAGAACAACCTTTTATGTTTGTAAGGCGCAGTTATATATTAATGGAAACCAGAGGAATTGAATTATTTGACTTATTTTAGCTTCCTCTGGAGAGACAGTCTATTGATTGGTTATATATGTGTCCTAGCTGTAATAAAAATAAAGGAAAAGAAGTTTGAAAACTGAAGTCTTTTGTGAATTTTAAGATTCCATAGCAAGTAACTCCATAAAATTCAGTAAGCCACCTCTGCAATTAAGCTGTATTGATTGATCACCTGCAGATTAATCTTATCATTGTCTGCTCTCCCACAAACATTGTAAAAAGACAGCGTTCATTTCCTGCTGTTCCCACTTATCAATTCTTACACATTCTCAGCTTACCACTTTTGACATTTTCTGTAAAGGCAAGCGACTATTCATAAATTTATAATTGTTACAAAGAAAAAAATCACAAGCAGAGAGAACATTCTACAAATAAATCAAAAAGACCTTCAAGAGGGAAATACATGTAACATTGCTACATATGTGAATGCCAGTCTACTGACACATTCCTTTTCCCATATTCTGTTATTGTAATACTTCTTTCTTCAGTTGGCATGGTTAATGACCATGAGAGAGTTACATGTACTGACAGGCTAAAGTTACAATGATCAGTGTTGTAACCAGACAGAGTGACTGTGAACACTAACACTAACGCATGAATACAAACTTAGCATGAACTTGGTTGTGAACCTGACAAAGTTAATTGTAACAATAAAAATTTACCATAGTCTGTCTTGAAACCTAAAGAGCATCACTGGAAGTACAAACTTGCATGAACAGTGTTGTGACTTAGTGGTTCTAACAGTACAAAGTTGCCATGGACAGTGTTGCCAGTTCCTAGTAGTGGTACTTGCAATACAAACTTACCATAAACAGTGTTGTGACTTAGTGGTTCTAATAGTACAAAACTTACCATGAACAGTGTCCAGACCTTACATTACTTATGTACAGTACAAACTAATGACCAGTGTTGTAACTCAGTGAGAGCTGTCAATCACACAAACTTACCATGATCAATGCCTGTGACTTGTGAAGCTGAAGACTTGTGTTGTGTAAATCTTTAGCAGACGCCAAATACATCTGATGTACAGAATCCACCAGGTGTCTGCGCAGACCTGCATTTTTCTCTCCTAAATTTTGATTAAAAATATATATATAATACGAGGGGTGTTAGAAAAGTTCGCGGACAAGTTCTATTGTGAGCGCGCTATTTCCACGAAACCGGTCAAACTTTCCAGATAAAATCTTTACCTTTTTTCCAATAAATATACAAGAATTTGGTGCTCTCCGGTGATTATTGAAAAATATACAGCTTTTTTATTTTGATAAAACTTGACTCCACGGAGCATGCTACATTTTGGCACGTTTACATCACAAAGACTCTTAATTAAAATCAAAAATTGCACAATTGTAGCGCAAAGAGATTTATGATATTTTACCTGCCTCTAAAGTATTCATCAAACGTCAATGGGAGAAAATTTGATCTAAATTGGAGGGTATATGACTGTTTTATAGCCGTTTATAAATGATCAACGCGTGAAAAGACAGCCAAAAATCGGAACTTGTCATTGAGCGTCATGGAGCACTGCACTACGTAAAAATTATGTAAGCAGACTTGAAAATGTCTAAAAAGATATTAAAATGTTCAAGATGCTGCTGGGAATTTCCTACACCTACAAAGGACAAGTTTTCAAATGGCTGTAGCTTCATAAGAATGGAAGGATTAACATTTTGAATGATTAAATCCATCGATACTTCATTACCCCTGTATCGCATGGGCGTTGCGTTGCGCCTATATGGTTTTGCACAGTTTCCATACCTGATCGATTTACTGCATAGACTTTTTTAAGATCTCAGTAATATCCAAATCAGTACAAAAACATTATAGAAGAAAAGTAACATGTCTTGATATAGATATTCAATTTTAAAGTAGAAAAAGATAGGAAAAATCTGAAGAAATGAAAGATTTATAGAACTGCGACAAAGCTTAGAGGGGTGAAATCTGGTTGTCACGTCGCCTTATATCAAGTGATTGCTCTGTGAATCCCATGATCTTATGGTAAAAATAGTTGTAAATTTTCAAGATTTTATCATATGGACCTGATTTTTTACATACCAATAAACAAAATGTGTGAATTTATTCAGACAGAGGTCATACTTCACAGTACACAATAGATTTTCCGTAATTCAATGTGTCCGCGAACTTTTCTAACAACCCTCGTATATAGCAAAGTTTAGACAGATTGAAATGAAAACATCTGAATATCAAATGAATTAAATAACTGTGTTTTAGATTCCAGGAATGACTTGATTTTAAAGAATATAATATATGTGATTGACCTTATTTTATACAGAGACTAGATTTAGTTGATCAGTTAAGTTAAAAGTAATCAAATCTCCTCTTCAGTGAAAAATCAAATGTTAAATTCACAAAATATTTATTTAACACCTCAGTAAGATCTGTTTAGATTTAAACTTTCAGGCAGTAAACATTTAGGCTGAAAACTGAATATTGCATGCAAATTTCAATTTAATACTGCATGATATGTCTACATTAATACCACTTTGTATATGTCTTCAAAAATCTACTTACTCAACTTTTTATGTAGTAAGCTGGAAACAAAAGAAAACTTTCAGTTATTAAACAGACAAATAAGGTTGCAAGTAGTACTAAATAAATTTAACACAATATGTAAAATTATACAGAATAACATTCCGATCATTTTGAATGAAGTTCACCAAAGGAAATCTTAAAAAATACAGAAAATATTCTTAGTTGTATTTAAATGTTCTGAAGAAACAAGGGTCTGTATTTCACACTGCTCACCTATGTCACCTTAACCCTCCTTTTCTTCATTACAAGATTTTACAAAAAATTCCAACTTTCTTCAAATGGATAAAATCTTAGCCTGTATTGTGCCCCCCCCCTAACTTTGTATCTGCACTAAGGATATCTGAGGATGATTGTGTCTCTTTATTCTACTCATTCTGCTGCTGTTCTTGAGAAGAAGATTTTTACTCTTCAATGTATACTGAAAGGAAAAAGAAATGCAGATTAACATAATATGCAAAATTTTCTTTACCGCATGACCAAAAATTACAAAAATTGGACAGGTGACAATCTTGGTTACTATGCACTAAAATCAACGTTCAGAATTACTTAACCGTTAAATGTATGACGTCACGTTGGAAAAGTGCTAAAAAGCCAAAAACACGTGCAACTTGATTACGACAAGTTAGACAATGATCTTTTTGTACCATTTTATGCATTTGAGGTATACCCATTGATTTTCAGTACTTTTAGACGAAATGCATTTCTTACAATCTTGTAACAGTTGACATGTACCTCCGACCCATTGTAGCTGAGGTTTAGTAAGACTTTCTAGCTAACAATCACATTTATCCACTCGACTGGTCTCCATAAAGTCCATCTTTTTCTCATTGAACATCTGTGGGACTTGGTGGAAGATAGAGTTCGAAATGCCGAAGATGTCCCCTTTCAACTATAAGGGTTATCTTGTTGAAAAGGTTGAAAAATATTCTTATTTGTAGGAAAAACACACTGATGAACTCCATGCCAAGAAGAAACATGACTGTAACAGATGCGCAAAGGAGACTTTGAAGATAATGTGAATTTTCAATTTTCACTTTTGTGGGTATGGTCATATCAGTTTCAATAACTTACTAATTATGTGACAAAATCTAATGAAATTTTGGTTACATTTTTATGAAAGATGATTTTAAACGTTAGATAGGAATACTAGAAAACACATTTGGAAAAATAAAATTATTTCACCTCTAAAGTTTACCCTGTAAATATTCCCATGTAAATCTTTTATCTTCCTTTGTTGTTTCAACCTAACCATTGAAGGGATATGTCATTTGAATAAACTTGTAATTGCACTAATTAACTGACATGTTAATATTAGGTTCATTAGAGGCATTACTAACCTGTTAATATTAGAATAACTAGAGGTATAACTAACCCATTAATATAGGCTTAACTAGAGCTTTTACTAACCCGTCATATTTTGGTTAAATCAAGATGAAACTATAGCCTGTTAATTTTGAGATTACTAGAGGTGTAACTAACCTGTAAATATTGGATTTACACAATGTAAAACAAAATTGTTTATATTGAGTTAACTAGAAGCATTAGTAACCTGTCATACATGGGATTAATAGATGTATATCAAACCTGTCATACATGGGATTACTAGAGGCATAACTAACCTGTCATACATGGGATAATTAGAGGTATAACTAACCTGTAATACTTGGGATTACTAGAGGCATAACTAACCTGTCATACATGGGATAATTAGAGGTATAGCTAACCTGTAATACTTTGGATTACTAGAGGTATAACTAACCTGTCATACTTTGGATTACTAGAGGCATAACTAACCTGTCATACTTTGGATTACTAGAGGCATAACTAACCTGTCATACTTTGGATTACTAGAGGCACTACTTAGTACTAACCTGTCATACTTGGGATTACTAGAGGCATAACTAACCTGTCATACATGGGATAATTAGAGGTATAACTAACCTGTAATACTTTGGATTACTAGAGGTATAACTAACCTGTCATACTTGGGATTACTAGAGGTATAACTAACCTGTAAATATTGGATTTACACGAGGTAAAACTAAACTGTTTATATTGAGTTAACTAGAAGCATTAGTAACCTGTCATACATGGGATTAATAGATGTATATCAAACCTGTCATACATGGGATTACTAGAGGCATAACTAACCTGTCATACTTTGGATTACTAGAGGCATAACTAACCTGTCATACTTTGGATTACTAGAGGCATAACTGACCTGTCATACATGGGATGATTAGAGGTATAACTAACCTGTAATACTTGGGATTACTAGAGGCATAACTAACCTGTCATACATGGGATAATTAGAGGTATAGGTAACCTGTAATACTTTGGATTACTAGAGGTATAACTAACCTGTCATACTTTGGATTACTAGAGGCATAACTAACCTGTCATACTTTGGATTACTAGAGGTATAACTAACCTATCATACTTTGGATTACTAGAGGTATAACTAACCTGTCATACTTATATAATAGTGTTGCATTATGCGTGTACTATGCCTAAATAGTAGGCAGGGTTTGACACATGGTGCACGAGCCGGAGGCGAGTGCACTATGTGTCAAACCCTGCCTATTATTTAGGCATAGTACATGCATAATGCAACACTATTGTTATTATTATGCTGACTGTTGTAATTATTTATGCGGCAATCCATTTGAATTTTTCATGAAAATATCGGTGCTAACACAGCGCACTTGCAGGACTCATTCAAAATCTTAATGCTAAAATTGGTTACATGCTTAGTTTTTTGGACATAAGGACATTTTCTCGGAATAAGTCAGGATTTTCTGTCCCAAATCAACTCATCTTTATTTTTTGTTTTGTTAGTAAGACTTATTTGTTTGCAGACGTCGATTCTCATTGATAATTGTCTTTAACATCCTTCAATCAAGCGTCATATAAAATTAAAGCGTTTTAATGACCCTACGAAATCAGTTCATCTAACGATCTGTATGTAATTAGTTTGAAACTTTGTTGTACATATTAATCTAAGGTTCCTTAGAATAATATAACTGTTTTCAAATAAAATTTGTCTATTTTCTCCTTCTTGTGTCAATTGTATAAATTAAGTTTATATATTTTATAAAATTCTACCAATTAGTGATCATCTCTGTGGCATAATCGATAAGGCATCGGACTGACAATCTCATGGTCGTGAGTTCGATCCCCGGCGTGTGCACTGAAGAATTTATTTCAGTAAATAAAGCCATGCACTATTTCGGCATAGTATGTTTACGCTATATAAATCCTTAGACCACTATGCGAGAATAGTAGGGTATGGGCTATATAGAGACAAACTGACAGGAAGCATAATAATTTGGATTACTAGAGGTATAACTAACCTGTCATACTTCGGATTACTAGAGGCACTACTTAGTACTAACCTGTCATACTTTTGTTTACTAAACATGCTAAAGGCACTACTAACCTGTCATACTTTTGTTTACTGAAGGTATAACTAACCTGTCATACTTGGGTTTACTAGAGTAAAGTTTGGGAGCTGAAGTCAAATGAGGTGGATCTTGCAGTCCACTTTGTCTTGTGTCCACTGAAACAGATACAATTAAATCCTGTCTTAAATGATTATTAAACTATTAAATAAGTAAAAGAATAAGCAGGATCTTTATTTACTATTAAGTTTATTTCTTGCCACAAGATTTGAACATAGTTACCAGGCTCTATATTTTTTATTCTTCACAAATAACCCTGCTATAGAATAAGCCTGAATCTATACCTTTGATTCAATTTATTTTTTCATGCATAACTTTGCAATAGAATACTTGATATCAGATTACTTAATTTAGCGGAACTATTTCATGATGGAGGTAGGAATGGGGGCAAATATGCTATTGAATACAATGCAAGATGGATCATTGTAGAATTTATAAGGACAGATAACAGACCTGCTTACAAATATCGTCGTTTCTCAGTATTTTTTATTAGATTTATCCTTGAGATTTGGCAGTTGCCAGTAAGATTTAACTTTCCATCAATTTTACATATTTTTAAAGAGAACAACTGCTTTTCTGATTTCAAAAACTTGGTTTAACAACATGGTCTTTGTCATTTTATAATACCACAGCGTTTTGGCAACCCGACATCACTTAAGTGTTTGAAATCGTTCTCTTTTTTAGTGATTCAAAAGCGTGAAATGAAGACAGATCATAACGAAAACTAACTGCTAATTCCAAACGAACATATTTCCGATTTCCGTATTTTCATAATAGCAAATCGTGAGATGTATTTTTTAAACTAAAAATCCAAACAAAATACGCCAAATCGTAAGAGTAAGCAGGTCTGAGATAATTAACATTAATATATTAATTATATATCATAAATATTAATTGATATATCTCTATTATTATTATATAATATAAATATTCCTGGTGGAATACCTTGCTAAACAATCGCTGAACTAGTCTAATCAATTTTTGAATGGAGCTATAATCCTAAAATGTTACATTTTTTATGATATTTTTAAATAAGCGAACTATTCCAATTAAATTTTCATTGAAAATCGTTACATTTTAAAGCTGATAAAATATTCTAAACTTTCCTTATTTGACAATCTACTATTTTGAGTTCAATCTTTGGCAATACATTGTACTTTCGGCATAAAATTGTTTGAATCATTCGATTGTCGATACTGTAAACAATGTCATGTGCCCCAGAAATCTCGAGAGATTTAGAGCTTTCTTGACTCCCCTACAAAAGAGCGGTAGTAAGCTAAATAACTGCAAGGTACTTGAGATATTACCTATTGGGAAATCCTTTGATTGGGGTATTTAAAAGTTGGCTCTTTACCTATGATTGGTGGCACAGTTAAACTTCATTATCTTGAACCTGATGGGGCTGAGAAAAAACTTGGAGATATCCAAGGATTCGAGATGTTGAAGAAAGGTAAAATATACTGTATAGGGGATTAATTTCACGGGTTGTAATTTTCACGTTTTTCTCTCATCTGACACGATCGCGGTTTCTTGAATTCGCGGAATTGGTATATAATAAAAGTTACCTCCCTTGTCTATATTCGTTTAATCCATACCGTAGCTACATGTAAAAGACATTCCTCAGCGTTGTTTTTATTTCACGAACAACATGGTAGTTTATATAAAATTGATAGATTTTATTAACAATTAATTAAAACAAGTGCAGTTATTAAAAGTCCTAAACTCTAAACGTCAAATGACTTTCCTATATGGTATTACGATGAGTGCATGTGCACCAAGATCTTCAAAACAACGCGGCAAAAAAAACACTGGACGGAAGTAAATGTGTTTATATAGTTCGCCGAAATAATATCTTCCACATCTTCAGTAAATTCGATATTTATTTAGATGATTTTTTAAAACCAAAATGTTGATAAAAACTAATATGCATGATAATGCAGGTAACAAATACACGTGGTAAAATTACTAGTAGTTACGCATGGGTAATCAAAACCCATGGCCCATGTGTTTTGATTGATGAAACATGTAGCGTTGGCTATTAAAACAGCTTTTGAACAAACACGAGTTATTATCTGCCGGTTTGAATTAAAGTAAAGCGTGATAATTAAAATAATTGAACGATGAGTACTACTCGTAATTACTGAAACGACCATATACTGCATGTTCATGTATATCAACCTGTCATAGTCAACCTATCGTAGTCTATTCTCAAATTTCCAAATAAAGCATGGAGATTATTGAAAATTTATTCACTGTTTCTTGAATTCGCGGATTTATTAACACCGTGAATATAGCGAATATTAACACCGCGAGTTATTTTCCCCCTATACAGTACTTAAAGGATATGTTGTTGGGACTTCCACATTCTTCAACATATCCATGTTCTTCAAGATACCAAAGTTTAACTGTATTGTTTAAGCAGGCTCTTTACATTTGATTAGGGGTATTTATAAACAGGTTCTATACCTTTGATTGTGTATGTATAAGCAGGCTCTTTACATTTAGTTATGTAACTATGTATATGCAGGCTCTTTACATTTGATTGGGGGTATGTATAAGCGGGTTCTGTACCTTTGATTGGGGGTATGTATAAGCAGGTTCTATACCTTTGATTGGGGGTATGTATCATTAGTTTCATAGTCTTTTAGTGACAGGGTATGGGATGATACCTGGTTTCATACCTGGCGAGGCGGAGCCGAGTCAGGTATGAAATTTACTAACCAGGTATCATCCCATACCCTGTCACTAAAAGACTATGTAACGAATTTACCCCACCGATGTAACATTTACGTTTTATCTGTAGTTTATAAATGGTTTTCTCTGCTAAATCCTTCATCACGCTTATACTGTGCCTATTATGACATCACGTTTGTGTTTGTGACGTAATACCTCGACCGGGTATAGATTACAACTGACCGGGTATAGATTTACAACTGACCGGGTATAAGAAATCCACCACCTTCACGTGACAGACTTCAACCAATCGTAAGCCAGGATTTCACGGAAAAATTGACAGAGGTGGGGTAATACTAGTCCGCCTCGCCAGGTATGAAATTTACTAACCAAGTATCATCCCATACCCTGTCACTAAAAGACTATGTAACGAATTTACCCCATCAATGAAACATTCTCGTTTCATCTGTGGTTTATAAAAGATTTTCTCTGCTAAATGCTTTGTCAGGCTTATACTGTGCCTATCATGACGTCACGTTATGTTTGTTACCTACTACATCGACCGGGTATAGATTTACAACTGACCGGGTATAAGTAATCCATCTCCTTTAACCAATTGAAAGCTAGGATTTCACGGAAAAATCAACAGAGATGGGGTAAAAGCAGGTTCTATCCCTTTGATTGGGGGTATGAATAAGCAGGTTCTATACCTTTGATTGGGGGTATTTCTTCATCCTCTGATTCTGAAGCCTCTCCTGATATAGATACAGCATTCACTTGGTCCTCACTTAACAGTTTTTTCTCCTGAATATAAACAGTTTAGTGTCAATTAGTTTATTATATGAGTTACATGTTTTTTTTTTTTAATATTAAAAAAAGCTTTCAAATCAAGCATTATCTTTAGATAATATCATGATGAGAAACTGATTTGCTGATCTATAAGAATATCTTGATTTAGTTACTACCTGTCTTACTAAACTTCATATATATACATAATTTACGTGAAAAAAATTCCTTATTTTGTATCAAGGTAATTTTTTTGGAATGAATGAGTGGTTCACAATAAAGATGCTCAACCAGAGACATCTGAAACAATTTAATTGACAAGAAAAAAGTCTCTCAAAGCTTATATCATTTTAAAGTATGTTAATGATTGATAGATTAACAAAATACAAGCTTGAAGCACAGGGGCATCTTATCCACTATGTTCTCTACTTCACATATAAAAATACACAAGGGAAGAATCGAAAGTAGCACACGATTTTTAAAAAAAGTCAAAAAACAACTTACTTGAGAAAAGTTACACAAATCCTGAAAGGAACTAGCGCAAATAATGTCCTAGTACTTATCCAGGCTAAAATATTCCAGATATATCCATCGAAAATAGCTTTTATCCAACTAAAACCCCAGCTTTCTGCACAGTGTGAAACTCTTCGCCCAAGAAAAGATAACTCACCCGGATGACAATGGGGTAGTACCCGAGGCCTTCCGAGTACCATTGGAAGACTTCGGGTACTACCCTATTGTCATCCGGGTGAGTTATCGTTTCTTGGGCGAAGAGTTTCACACTGTGCAGAAAGCTGGGGTTTTAGTTGGATAAAAGCTATTTTCGATGGATATATCTGGAATATTTTAGCCTGGATAAGTACTAGGACATTATTTGCGCTAGTTCCTTTCAGGATTTGTGTAACTTTTCTCAAGTAAGTTGTTTTTTGACTTTTTTTAAAAATCGTGTGCTACTTTCGATTCTTCCCTTGTGTATTTTTATATGTGAAGTAGAGAACATAGTGGATAAGATGCCCCTGTGCTTGAAGTGGGGGTGCTTGAAATCAATTTAGGTTCCTTGTGGTAAACATAATAGGGGTACCCCGTATACGAAATAAGTGCCTCACATCAAATCGTATTTTTCATACACTTTTTATTTGATAAACGGATTTGGGGCATTATTATAAAAATATGATGAAAAATCCCGTATGCAGTAATGCTTTTTATTACTGAAAAGAGGAACAGTACCCTTTAAGCGTAACAGTTACTGAAAAAAGGAACTGTGCTAACCTGTTTTACTGTTTAACGGTGTACAGTTGGTGTATGTATAATATATGGGGTGTTTTCTAACTGTTGTGCATAAACAAACAATCATTTTTTTTCTACATCTAGCGATGTGAACAAAATCACCTTCTTCTCTTCGTTTTCTACTGAATCCTCGTCATCATCAGACTCCGAGGCTTCTCCGTCGACTATCGTTCTTATTGCTGGCTCCATTGAGAAAACGCCTTGTTTGCATCGAAAACGAAAGTAGCTATAATCACAGAACTAGTTTAGCGACATTTATCCGGATTGGACACCACCTTTTTTTAAATAGATAAATAAAAAAAAATCAATAATAAAATAAATAAATAATCAATCATTAAATAAGTTAACAAACAAACAAAACAGAGCAAAACAAGACTGATTTACTACAAAATAGATAATAGTAAATATTTCCCATCGATGGTCAACAGAGAGGAATGAATTAAGGAATCATTGTCTAGTTAGTGTAGTATGCCAGGGCCTCAACGATAGTGGGAAACATGGGATATCTTGCATAACTTTCAAAGAGTTATCGCGGAAGAAAAATTAGAAATGGAAATATAGAGATATAACTGTAGACAAAGACATTTGTCAATCATGATCCATCCTCACAATGTCAAGGGTTTGTAATTTCTCGAACTCCTTGGAGTATTGTGAGGATGATCACGGTCAAGAAATATTAAAATTGAAAAAAGATAGATGCATACAGTACAAGTTGTTCATATGCTTTACAATATTTATTCAATGATTTGAGAGTTCGAAGTTGAATTAAAATATCAACATTTTCATTTTTACGAACCTTATGCAGTGTAATTTAGCTGTTGAAATCAAAATTTTGTTTCCTTGCTTCATTTAAAAGTGTTATTCGTTTTTCCTGGTTGAATGGGACGATGATACCCAGTGGAACAGATTCTCTCTCTCTCTAGATTTAAAAAAACACACTTTATTATGGAACGCCATCACTGCCTTATAGCATACAACTATATGCATTTATTATGTCAATTTATCATTACGTGATGTGAACATATCTTTACGTTATGTCCATAATTTATGAGATGATGTAAATATATCTTAACATCATATGTCAATGCTGCATTACATGAAGTAAATACATCCTTTCATTTTGTCAGCACTTCATAAATTGAAGTAAAAAAAAATCATTATGTGAAGTGATAATTGTATACAGTGGACCTTCAGATATCCGGACGCCAGATATCCGGATGCTTCAGTATCTGGACGATTTTTCATCATAATGAAATTTTTAAATATTATTCTGTCTTGTTTAACTGGTGATTCAGATATCCGGATGCTTCACATATCCGGACAAATTGACTGGGAACCAAAGCGTCCGGATAAATGAGGGTCCACTGTACATTGTGTTAAAACTTTATTACCTGAAATGAAGGTTTCTTTACATCATTTTATTTCTTTAATATGTGAGGTCAAAATTGTATTACGTCAAGTAAATTGTGTTTTATGATTAAACTTATCATTACATGAAGTCAAAAGCCCATTCCTTTTTGAGGGTGTATATTTCTATTATATCAAAGCAATATTACCTGATATGGATTTATCTTTATTTTACGGCGAGGGCATCATGATGTGAGGTGAACACATCTTACCTTTATGTCAGTGCTTTATTACGCGGTGTAAAAAGTGTATAACATAATGTGAATATATCTTTACATTATATCAATACTTTATTACATTATGTCAAAACTCCATTCCGTGATGCGGAATTCGAATCTCGTATTTCGAATCTCGAATGAGCGTTCTGGGCTTTCGTAGATATAGAATTACGTTATGTCAACTCTTTCTTATGTGATGTAAAAATATCTTTATATAGTATGGAACGCCATCACTGCCTTATAGCATAAAATTATGCATTCATTATGTCAATCTATCATTACATGATGTGAACATATCTTTACATTTTGTCAACTTTTATGGGGTGATGTAAAAATATCTTTACATCATGTCAATGCTGCATTACATGAAGTAAACACATTCTTCCATTATGTCGGCACTTTATAACTTGAAGACCAAAGTGATGTGAAGTGAAAATATGTTTACATTGTGTTAAAACTTTATTACGTGAAAATAATGTTTCTTTATATTATTTCATGTCTTTAATATGTGAAAATTGCATTACGTCAAGTTAATTTCGTTTTACATGTGTTCTATAATTAAATTTATCATTACATTAAGTCAAAGTCCATTTCCTTTCGTGAGTGTATATTTCTATTATAACAAAGCATTATTACGTGATGTTAATGTATCTTTATTTTACGCCAAGGTCATCACAATGTGAGATGAATACATCTTACCTCTATGTCAGTGCTTTATAACGTGATGTTAAAAGTTTTATAACATAATGTGAACATGAATTATGAAGACAGTCCTGGCGTTCCATATTATATCAACACTTTATTACGTTATGTCAAAACACCATTCCTTTATGTGGATATTTAATAAGAATATGCTAACTTTTTCTTATATGATTTAAAACTATCTTTACATTGTGTTAATTCTTTATCATGTTGATTAAAATGTTCATTACGTCCTGTAAAATACATTTACATTATGTCAAAGTTGATAACCGTGTTTTCACGACTGGGAAATGGGGGGGGGGGGGGTCCTGATTAATTAGGACGAATTACAGACACGTTATATGAGGGGGAGGGGGGTCTGACTTCCTCTTTTTTCCGACATAACTTGATCATAGAAAATGTTCTTTGAAATTCAGCACCACTTTTTGCTGAAGTATAAGGGTAATGTAGTATATTTGGAAATTTTTTTAGGACTGATCGAAGTTGGACCCCCCACTCCCTTTCACCCGAAATAGGATTTTCGAGTTTGGATTTTTTTTTTGCTTTTTCGTGAGCGTTATTTTTTTTCTGGCCGACAAACCTCCCCCAACTTTCAAAAACGATGCAACGTCACTGGAATTAGTCATTTTTCAACTATTCTTGGACCAGAATTCTGTTACAAAAATCTACCAGTCCCTCACTTTAATCAATTGAACATGGGCTTATATCAGTGGCGATCTTGGGTTCTTGAAAAGAGTAGCTATAGGGGACGATATGGTGTCTAAGTTGGGGACCAGGGGGTGAAAGCCCGGAAGCTCTTAGGCTTTAGATTTTTTTTAAATAAAACGTTTCAACTTATTTCAGTTATACTTTATGTAAATCTAATGCAATGTCATACAAAGTAAAATCAACTGATTAAATCCATGCATATTTTAGTCACTAAAGATGGGAGGGCGGGATCCCCCCTCTCCTCACCGACTAACCATTGCACGTATGAAATACGATGTATTTACACTTTTTTTTTAAAAGGAGGGTTAAAGACTGATAAAAAGCTTAGGACTAGGACAGTGTTTTTTAGTTAGTTCAGAAGTTTCGGACTTTTCAAAATAATTCAAAATAAAAAAAAATATATTGCTGCATGACACATACTATTTGATTTGCGATAATTATATGAGATTAAACGGCCATTGAATTTCGACGTTAAAAAAACAATCGTCAGTAAAGATTCCATGGGAACATGATCCTATTTATGAATTTAACCTGATATTTAATTAAGGATTAATTAAGTCTTGTGTATAATTTAATATTTGATATGTTTAATTTAAATTATTTGCATGTTTAACATATGTGCATGTAATATTGAAAACACAAAACGAAATTGTTGAATTATTCTAGGATATACTGACAAGAGGCTAAGCATTTTAGACACTGTGCATTGTAAAGATACAATGGCATAACATAATAATGATTTGTGAAAAAGTAAGGGAAAATTGACATCATGTAATAGATTCCTATCGTCATGTAGCATATTGATGACACAATATAGTAAAGAATTGGCCACATCGCAATGTGACAATTTTTTTCACATCATGTAATGAAATTCTGACATCGTGTTATAGCAACGTGATATTGAATTAAAGATAAATTCACATCATGTAATGAACTACTTACAGCAAATAGTAGAGAGTGCACATAATGTAATAATGAGTTGAAATTATATAAAAACATCTTTACACCACGTAAAATTGTTTTGACTTAATGTCATAAAGAGCTGATATAATGCAATGGAAGGTTGGCGTAATGTAATTGAAGTGCGAGTTAATGCCATAAAGACTTAACATAATGTAATGGGAAAGTTGACATAACGCTATAGTAGTGTGTGTAAATGTCATAAAGAGTTGACATAATGTAATGGACAGTTGACATAACGCAATAGTAGTGTGTGTAAATGTCATAAAGTGTTGACATAATGTAATGGAAAGTTGACATAACGCAATAGTAGTGTGTGTAAATGTCATAAAGAGTAGATATAATGTAAGGAAAGTTAACATAACGCAATAGTAGTTTGTGTAAATGTCATAAAGAGTTGACATAATGTAATGGAAAGTTGACTCAATGCAATAGTACTGTAAGTAAATGTCACAAAGTGTGGACATAATGTAATGGAAAGTTGACTCAATGCAATAGTACTGTAAGTAAATGTCACAAAGTGTTGACATAATGTAATGGAAAGTTGACACAATGCAATTGTAGTGTTCTGCTATAAGGCAGTGACGGCGTTCCATACTTTATATTGCATTTTTAAATTCTATTATGTTTTCATATAAATCACTTGTTCAAATGGAAATTACTTTAAGGCATAGTTTTCCTGAAGAATTTTTTCTTTAGTGATGAACCATGTGCAAATTAACTTTTTTGTGGATTTGATCTTTGAAAACCTACCTATCAGTTGCATAAATGGTTTAAAAATTAGCTATATAAAATTGTAATTTAATTTTCTAACCTCTAATTACATAAAATTGTAAATTAATTTTCTAAGATGAAAAGTTTAAATTTAGATACACCAAAGAAGAACGCATTTTCAGCTTGTGTGTTTGTGTGTTTTATTTGAACCGGAGACATTGCATCTCATAGGTATACAATATTCCTAAATATAGAAAAATTAAAGTATACAATGGAATCTTTACTCGTGCTAAGAGTTTGAATTGATAAAAGCATTACACAGATGAGAATTGTCATAAAAAATTCTAGTTTGTGCCAATTTAACACTTGTAACAATGGTTTTCAGCCGGGCTTATTGCTCAAAGAGCAATTGCCGGCTTATGTCTTCCTGTTCAAGGCAGGAAGTCAACCCCATAGTCGCCATTTTAAAGTTACGAGTAAAAATATAGTTCTTGCTCTCAACCGCTTTTGAGATAATGCAAACGCTAAATAAAG